TCTTGCTTAGGCGATCTAGTTCTAGTCCACTCATTATAACTGCTAGATGATATGTGGAACCACAATTTATACATTCACTCTGCTGCTTCCTTTATATTTTTGCTATCAAGCAAAGCGACAATAAGCTTTCACCCATTCATCCCATTTCCTAACTGAGCAGCAGTACTGCTCTAAGAGCCAGGCATAAGGCTGAGAAGAAATCCAATAAACATCTGCCCAAAGTTGAGCTTAGGTTTGAGAGGAGACAATAAGCTTAATGTTAAAATATTGCATGCTAGGAGGTGTTAACTCTGTAGAAAACAGAGCAGAGTAAGGATGATTGGTAATTCTGGTAGCAGCAGAGTTGTGAATAGTTGCTCTGGAGGGTTGGGGAGGGGGCACTACTCGTCACGTGTCTCTGTGACAATCCTTAGTGAACAACTCCAGAATCTCACCTGTTTACAACACACCTAGGTTCATGGGTCAGCTGGGGTGGCTCTGCATCAGAATGTGGGCCAGCTAGATTTGGCCTCCATTGTAGGTTGGATTCAGGTTGGTCTCAAGCATCTCCTCATTCGCCTTAAACAAGGATGTGTTTCCTTCATGGTAAATGTCAGACATGAAGGGGACCATGTCAGATCATGGACGTATATTCAAGACCTCTGTGTCTTGTCTGCTACCTTTCCACTGTTCTGTTCCAAGCAAGTCACAAGAAATAAGCCTGGGTAGGAGGGACGTATACTCTATCCGCTTTAGGGGGAGGTCCTGAAAGGTCTCACAGCAAAGATGGCAGTGCAGAATTCCATAGAGGTCGTGAAGAATTGAAAACTATAGTAAGGACCCCTGGGTGGCTCAGTTGTTTAAGCGCCTGCTTTGGCTCAGGTCGTGATCTCACAGTTTGTGGGTTTAAGCCATGCATCAGGCTCTGTGCTGACAGCTTAGAGCCTGAAGCCTGCTTCAGATTCTGTGTCTCCCTCTCTCTCTGCCCTCCCTCCACTCACACTCTGTCTCTCAAAAATGAATAAATGTTAAAAAAAAAAACTATTAAAAAAGGTTTTTTTGAAGGAAAAAAAATAACACCCAATTCATAGGGCTGTTGTGAGAAATAAATGAAATAATGTATGTGCAGAGTCTAGTCCAGAGACTGTTACAAATATTAAAAGACTAATACTTCTGTAGCACTTATTATGCTCCAGACACTCTATCTACTGTGTTCTCTATACCTATCCATGTAATCCAACCCTCACACTATTCTTATGCCCATTTCCTAGATGAGAAAACTGAGGCCAGTGAAATGAAGTAATCTGTCCAAGGTCACATGACTAGTACAGCTGTAGAGCTGGAGGTTGACCAACAGACAAGTAGCCCTGCATCTTTACTCTTAACCATGCTCTCTGCTCTCTGCACACCCGCCAGACCCCAAGTCTGGATTAGTGCTGTGTGTTTCGATGAGCACTTTGCTTTTCATCTCATGGTTCTGGGTACCACTTGCCTTTTCACTTGTCTGTGTCCTTAACTACAGTGGACATTCTAGAAAGGCAGGGATTGTGCCCGTCTTATTTACTTTCCTTCCTTACCCATCAAATATGGCAGTGGAGTGACGCAGCGGTCTTCTTCCCTCTGTACCAGCCCCACGGTGTGTGAAAGGAAGTGAAGGGAGCATAAGAGATTAAAGATGCCAGAAAAATGTGCAGTCATTGATGGAGCAAGGTATTTAAGTAAGCAGAAGTTATAAGATTAAAATGAGGAACTATTGACCTTGAGAAGACGGAAGAACACTTCTTCCTTTAAAGATGGAACGAGGAGGAAAAGGTGGATCTTATAAGAGCAGAGAAGTCTAGATGAGGAAGCTCAGGCCGGATAACTTGGATCATCTCAGTAAATAAGGGGTGGGAAAGAATGTAGGAGGCCGGAGTGGGAGATTGAGGCAAGGGGAGAGAGTTTGGAATAAATGCCTAACTTTTGGAGTCTGGTTTCTTATTTTTTAATGTTTATTTTTGAAAGTACGCAAACGGGAGGAGCAGAGAGAGAGGGGGCAGAGGATCTGAAGCAGGCTGCAAGCCCACAGCAGACAGCCTGACATGGGGCTCGAACTTGCAAATCCCGAAATCATGACCTGCGCTGAAGTCAGACACCTAACCCACTGGGCCACCCAGACGCCTAACCCACTGGGCCACCCAGACACCCCCTGTGATCTCTTTAATATTACAATGAATAGTATGATGAACCCAGAAAAAAAAGAAAGTGCATACAAAATTATGTGTATAATTTTAGAGGTCAGGGGACCGCGGGTTGGGAATGCCTGCTCTCAGAAACTAATGAAATTGAGTAAAAGTATTTCAGAGAAGTAATTGGAAGACAAGCAGCTTGAATTCATAGTCTTCTCAGCCTGTGCTTCTGTGACTTTTCTTCAACAGCACCCAGTGGCAGCAGAATAGCAGCTGATGCGGAATTAGGGACTGAGACTGTGGGTTTCTGAGCCGCCCAGGGGTGGGGGCGAGTCAAGGAGGGCAGTAGGGGTGGAGAGAAGGCAAAGGATGGGCCAGGGAAGAAGTGGCAGATGTGGCAGTAGCGTCTTGTGGAGGGAGGGACAGGTCCTCTCTGGGTGTCGGCCATCAGAAGTGCATGGTCTGTAGAGAACAGAAAAATAATAATAAAACTGAAAGTCTGTTTTATGCTTCTTATGATGCACAAGCAATGCTAAACACCGACAGTGATAAAATCCTGCCCTCTGAAAAAGCCTTGTGTTAGATCTGAACAACTGTCCGTATCTGGGTAGATATATGCCCCTGGAGGCAGATAAAGAGATTAAAGATGGAGAGAGTCATCCAGGATGTGGGTGAGGTGCTGGTGGGCGGCCGAGGTGGCGCCCACGCGGAGCTAGTGCTAGAGAAGAAGTCTCCTTCAACCTGGTGGTTAAGGGGCCCAATTCAATGGCTTTCATCTTCTAGAATCTAGATGTTGTCTGGAGTCCTAAATCCTTCTGACTGCCAGTCAGAACCATGTGTGTTTCACTGTCTTCATGTGGCCGCTCTGCTCACATCCTCATCTGCCTCAGTGTTTCACAGCCCTTTCATCCCTTTTTCTAACAGATGGCTTTTCTTTACTTACATGGTTCTCTCCCCTCCTAAACTACGTACTCCTTGAGAGCGGTGATCGTGTCATATTCATTTCTGAATCACCAGTGCCTACGAACAGGCACTCAAATGCCTGTTGAACCAATGCACCACCGTATCGTGCTCTTCCTTATAGATCCCTCAGATCTCCGGTGACCAGGCACCAGCCCACCCAGGATGCTGCTGCTTTCCTTCTCCCCGGTAAATGATAGGAATCTCTGTTCCCCTTTATGACATGTTCCTACTGGATCATCTTCATTCCATTCATCATACAACCTGGACATAGAACTAGATTAGGGAGATCCACATTTCACATTTTTTCATCCTCAAACCATCAGGACATTATCTAGAGAATCCTACTGCAGGGCTCCGAATGGTGATTATTCCCACCAAACTAGGAACCACCAGCAGCTGGCTGCTTTGTAGTGTGACTGGTACTGTGACAGGGATGCACAGGGGTTTCTTTGGTGTCCCAAAAGAATTTAGTTGCTTCTTGAAACCCCTCTCCAATCTATTACTTGGAAGTAATTATAAAATGGAGCAAACAGGGTCTGATTCACTCTCCCAGTGTTCCTTGAAAGTCACTAGAGGGCTGATAGTTCTTTGGAGGTGAGCCACTTCTCGAATGGACAGAATCTCCATCATCTCGTCCCATTACTCTGCTCACCATCTTCTTTGAGATGGCCTCTGTGTGGTTCTGACCAAGAAGTTGCCACACCACTGACTAATCAAGTAGATAGACTAGAAACAGCTTGGTTTAACATTTGCTGTTGGAAGCAGGAACTTTCTAAAGGAGAAATCAAAGAAGCAAAAGATGTATAAGGGCAGCTCCCCAACCAGAGTGAGTGACCACGGGTGGGGTTCTAAGCCCCTCACAACTACAGAAGCATGTAGAATGATCAAGCACTGTCGACTCACTGTCAGACTAAAGCACCGCCGTATAGCCTCATTCCCCAGTAGCCGACTGCTGGAGCCACACACAGTCTGGGGCAATGTGGAGATTATACTTCATGTTTAGTTAACATTACTCAGGGCACTACACAACCTTCACAGCCTCTGTGAGGCATGAGCACTTACTTTTGAAAAATGGGAATTTGCCCTCAAGACAAACATCCAGGGTTTAGACATAGAATACAGCTTTTCTTTAAAAAAAAAAAAAAAATCTCTTGCTAATGTTAAAAAACGTGCATTCAAAAAATAAATCTGGTCTGTATGAAGGAATTCAGCTACCCGTTTAGCTACGGCAGCTGTCTGTGTAATCCACGGTGCTCTTTGTAGGAAACGTCTAAATAATTGAAATCTTTAATTGGGTTAAAGAGATCCCTAACATGTAGATGTTCTATAAATAAAAGTGAGTAAATAATATAGTGCCCTTTCTTTTTGGGCCCTCCCCCTTAAAGAGACCATTTTGTTTTGTTTGCTCCAATAAGATCATTGTTGAGAGACACTTAAGAGAGGTTAGGTTGCGGCTGGGGCAGGGCTTTCCCATGGAAATCCCTTTTAAGTTTGTTTCAGGTGGATTTCCACCTTCTCCCTTGGCTACTTCACTAAAAACTAATCATTTGTTTATCTTTGCTGTAAGTAGCCAGGCACCTGGGCTTTGCATTTGCAAGTGGGGTCAGAGCAAGTAGTAAAGGTAGCAGGCTGACCTTGCTTGTTATCTGAAATCAGGCAGGTTTAAGTAGCCCAGAGCTTAAGAGCCAGCTAGAGAAAGAAAGGGGAGAAAAATGCTTATAAAAAGGAAGTGGTAAGACATTTCTGAATTTCAGTGTGACCTGTCCTGTCAGGTGATTCTATGGGGGAGGAGACATGAAAAAAAAAAAAGAAAAGTTAGGTAAAATGTCCTTATAAAGACAAAATCTATTTCTTTCCTGCCTGATGATTTGTCATCCTAGTCACTTCCTGCCTTGTGACCGACACCCGGGGTTGACAAAGTTGTTCTGCAGATCAGAAAGAAGGGGGTTTCTGGTCACACGCCAGTACCACTGAGGACAGTTTTTCAACAAGGTAAATTTTCTTAATGTCTTTTTGTCGTTTCTAAGTGCTTATGATGTATTTCCTTGTTGGGCGGCTGTGTTTCTGTGGGTTGTGGGTTTTTGCCTTCAGGAGGTCGAGATCTGAGCACCTGTCGCCCAAGCCCTATGTGAGCCATGTCACCGTTTAACTGCCCAACCAAGCTGTAGCTACCTCATGTAGTTGTCCGGAATCGGACCCCTCAGTTCTGTGGGGTGGCTTCTTCTCCAGTTATCCACAGTTAGCACCCCCAAAACCATGATTCTTTTTTCCCTTTTATTTTTATTTTATTAGTTTTTTATGATAATTTATTTTTGAGAGGGGGAGACAGAAAGTGACTGGGGGAGGGGCAGAGAGAGAGGGGGAGACACAGAATCTGAAGCAGGCTCCAGGTTCTGAGCTGTCAGCACTGAGCCCAACGTGGGCTCAGACTCACGAGCAGTGAGCTCATGACCTGAGCCGAAGTCGGAGCCCAAAGGAACGAGCCACCCAGGTGCCCCTTTTTCCCCCCTGTTAAACCAAACCATATTTTGATTTATTTCTCTTGCTTTACTTCAGGGAAGCTATTTACTGTGATTTGATCTACTTTAAAATGTTTTCAGGAAAGTGGGTATTGATCATTTAGATTGTGCTACTCATTGGCCTGGTGGGAGTAGTTTAATTTTAGCTCCCATGGTTCTGTTTTTCTAAAAAGTTTCTTTGCAGTCCTCGAGTGGATATATTAACATCTTGAGTCATATGTTACTGAGTGTATTACTGGTTATTTGAGTGATTTTGGCGCCAGTGGTTTTAATGGGTGTGTCTAATAACCACAAGGAATCAGAGGTGCCTTTTCTTCATTTATTCTCTAGTAATAAAAGCAATTTGTGTGGCTTCATTGTACTGTTTTTGCAAAATTGTCTGAACTATTGCTTAGGCTGATGACCAAACAAATGACCATTAAATTCTGGATGAAAGGCTTCTGTCTACATCAGAAATTCTGATAAAGTCGACATGGGGTATTTACTCCGGAAGCTCTTTTGAAACAGAGACTTTAAATCTTGTAGCATCGGCCTTCATTTAATTATCATTATCCAACAGAATTAACAACCATTGATAGATGACAAACATAAAAGCCATTCAGACTGGGAATGGCTTAATTTATCAGGATAGTTATCAAAACCCAATTTTTCTTATTCAAGGATAGCAACTCATTTTTTGACTTTATTTCCCCAGGGCAACTTTTTAAAAAAAATTTTTTTAGCATTTATTCAGTTTTGAGAGACAGAATGAGTAGGGAAGGGGCAGAGAGAGAGGGAGACACAGAATCCGAAACAGGCTCTGAGCCATCAGCACAGAGCCCGATGTGGGGCTCGAACCCATAAACTGTGAGATCATGACCTGAGCTGAAGTCGGATACTTAACCGACTGAGCCACCCAGGTGCCCCATCCCCAGGGCAACTTTTTAAAAAAACCAGTCAACAAAGCTGGTTAATCGCCATATCTCTTTAGTTTTGAATTTACGTAAATTTATCATCATTGGTTTCCATTAAATAGAAGATTTCAAAGAACCATCTGCACAGACAAATTTGAATGGAATTAGCCATTTAGCTATAAGTGTGAATTTCTGAAAGTTGCAAAATGTGGCCATCAGTATTGTTTTACACATCTCTTGTGAGTGATTTTAAACTAGCAAAAATGTGGAATTGGGCGAGAGGACCTGAACCCCAGAAAAACACAAATTTTTAAAAATGCTCTATCTTCTTTGTAATATAAATATTAATGAGAACAAAATAAATTAGAATGCGAAGGTATGTCAGTCTTTTCCTTACTTTGGAAGGAAATAAAATGGAATATGAAAAGTTAATTCAAAGTAGAGGAAAAAATCTCTTGAATTAAATCAAGTTTAGACTGTTAAAGTGTCAAAATGATATGTTGTAAAATATCCATTTCTCTTCAGTCTAGCTCACCCCTAGTAGCATCAGGGAAGAATCTTCTGTGTCTTGTCTTTTGAACAAGCACCATTATGATGGAACATTTCATTAGCTATCTCAAGGATGCTTCTCTTGGTCACATTTTAAATCTTTTTTTCTTTAACTTATAAAGTATCCTTGAAACAGTCAGTAATTTGGGAAGCAATTTCAGTATTTTAATATGATTTGTAAATCTTTTTCTGGTCCCTTTGAGGAAGGGAGGCCAACAAGTAAAGTCTCATTCAAATATGACCTACTTAGAGAGGACAAGAAAAGTAATAACAATATTATTATGTTACGATATTTATGCGTACTTACAACATGCAGCCACTCTTTATGCATTATCTCACGTAATGCCCTGCAACATTAGGAGTGGGCTCACCATGGAAGGAAGTGGCCCACTGTCAATGGGCAATTGGAGGGGTGGAGGGATGGTAGATCGTCATGATTTCCGGCTCCACATTGCTTCTCTCTAAGCATCTGTCTGTTCTAGATCCCTTCTTCCACACCAGCATAGTTTTTCCCAGATGTAGATCGTTAGAAGCTTTGATTTCTGAAGCTGACTGAAAGGACCTGGGTGCTCATAATTTTAAGGGAAGGAGGGGGAGAAAGAAAGAGAAAGAGAGGAAAAAAATTGCAATAAAATCAGAAGCTTTTTTTTAAAATCTTTGTAAGTAAGAGATATCATTGTGGGTTTCATATAATAATAGAATGAAGAAGTGTTTTCTTTTAATTAATATGTAATTTTACTAAAGAATTATACGCCTTCACAAACTTGCCTCAACCACTTCCCCAACCTATTTCTTGTCACTTCCTTCTGCTCTGGCTGTCCTCCATCTTCTCACCCCCCCTCGATTGCCCACTCTGCCTCACTTGTGGGCGCACAAGACCACAAGCCACCAGAAAGTTCCATGCTTTCACTTCTTTTTGCTCCAACTGTTGTTCCAATTGCTTATTTATAAAAGTTACAGTCAGTTTTCAAGACTCAGTTCAAGAAATGAGTCCTTTTGGATGTCTTTCCTATGGAACCCTTCTGCCATCTTCCTCGGCCCCACTAATGGTTTCTTCTGTGTGTGTCTGCTTAATGCTTTGACCTTAGAGTAAGTATAGCAGGAATCATAATTGTTTGAGTTTCAAGTCCTTGTTTGCTGACGGCCTGAGCTCCTTCTCTAGTTCCCCTAGCACATGTTTGACACTAATTTATTGAATTGAACATTCATCACAAGTATTTTCTCTCAGCTCCTTAGAGATGCATGGGAGTCTTTTCTTTGATTTCGCTTATTAACTTATTATTTACCGAGTTCCCCCAGTGATAGCTGTGAAAGAAGATACAGTAGTCATATAGTAGTTTCCATTCTACCATGCTCCCTCTTTGCCAAAGCACTATTCTTCATTTTAGTCTCAAAGCACTGAATGGACATTGAGTTCAAAGTATTTAGGAAATTGCCCAGTGACCATCCCAAATGGACAAAATTACAATCTTGTTATTTTGGTCTAAACACATTCATTGACCTCAAGCTTAGCTACATTTAACAAAACTATTGTACTTGACAATGGGCTTCTTCGATAACAGAGAACGTAAGAACAGATCTTACTAACTTTTGTTTACTTACTTTGAATTTTTCTAGAAAGTTCTCAAGTCAACTTCTCCTCAATACTTATAGAATAAAGACCCTCCATCTATATAGGAGAGAGGGCAAATAAATTTTGATATCAGTCTAGGTGAAATAAAATTTAAAAACTTGCTCATAAGACTATATGAATGAAGAGTCAAAATTCATAAAGTAAGATTGTAAAGGCACCAGAGTTTATCATTAATAGATTTTGTAGCAGAGTGACTTTATATTAGTCTAATTGTTTCTTTAGGGCTTTTTTCCCAACTCACAGAAATCATCAACCAAAATGATGCTATGCCTTGTGCATATTGTACCCTGCAGGCATATAAAAATTAGCATTAGAACTCCACCAAAGTGTCAAACTAACCAGTGTCAACAGCTTCTAAGAGTTTCAAGGTTCCCTGTTTTGCCAGATGGCAAGGCATTTAAATCAGAAGTGTTCATGTTTCACACTGTTGTCATTTTGAAGTTCTGAGAAGTTGCCACCAGATTAGATGTTCGTATATTTTAGGGGCATCTCCGTCCAGCTGCTGCAGACCAAGGGCTTCCCAGATGTCATCTCCGTGGCTTTCCTTAGTTCCCTTCTGAATCAACTTCCTTAAACTCTTGACTGTCCCCGTTGTTTTGGATTGCCAGGTTTTAGTGATTACATCAGCCTTCCCAGTAATTTCATCATCCCTCCATCTTGTAAGATACAGCAAGCAGCGTGGGGGTGGGGAGGAGAAAGAATTTCAGTTTATCACCCTAATAATAATAGCTAAGACTCAGGTACTACTCACTTTGGGCTGAGTGGTTTTTTGTAAGTGTTTTAACGATCCTGATGCATTTAGTCATCACTACGATCCTATGAGGTAGTTACTGGTGTTATCTTCATATATGAAGGAAGTTCACAAATGTCGTATTTAATTTTCTACATTTGAATCAGTTTTTTTATATAACTGCTGAATTCCAGGAGTAATATTCTCCTGGAATAAACAGGCAGCAGATCTGGTGCTTATTTGTACCTAAGCTCTTGAGTTGAGCTCAAATAATCATAATTTATCCCAAATAAATTTATCTGTATTCTTATTGCTTTTATCAAACAGATTCCTCTTCCTCCTCTTCTTTTCCTTCTTCTCCTTCATCACCATCACCATCAATATTTAGCCAGCATCTCTCTGCACTTGACTAGTTTTTACCAATTTCTAGATCTCTGCATGGCTCATATAATATGATTTCCATCCTCAAAAGCTTTGAAAAGTTCGTGGTCTTAAAAGGTTGGAATACTTTCAGTCAAGTTTTATTCACATTTTTGACAGTTGTGACTGATAGACACAATTAATTAAACAATTTAGTATTTACACTGAAACACACGTATCTATAATTACACAGTATTGGCCAAGTGTAGGCGTCCTAAAAACTGTGAAACAATGCAGGATTGTTTTCA